GTAACATCCCCCAGCTGCAATATTGAATTAAACCTGTCAAGGTACGATGAACTCATAATAGTATTAGTTGTGTCTAAAGTGTAGTCTTTGAGAAAGTTGTCAAACTAATCTGAATGTGGACAAAGCCACTATGAAACACACTGCTATGACATTACATTATGTCTGTCGGTTCTCATTAGGCGGTGTCACACAGAGGCCAAAAATCAGGATTTTAGTTCTATTTTAGTTATCCTCTTAATTGCTGTCTGTCATCAATTATCCCATTAAAAATCCTTTAACAAAGCAAGAAAATTCTCCCTTGAAAGAATTTTTCGAGGGATTTTTCTGTGTGACACCGCCTATTGTGTAACATTTTCTAATAAATTTTAAATTTCTTTAATGAATTGTTTAACGGAAGTAGAGTTCAAGAGAAGGGGATGAAGGCTGATAATTATCAAACAAGTACAACAACAAAAAATACCTAAATACAGGAGAAGTGAAAATATGGTAATAAATTTACTTTTTTAAAATCATTTATTGCTATTGAAAACATCATTTGCAGAGAGAGGGGGGGGGGGGGGGAAACCTTTCAGTAAAATCACAATCGGTCATACATTGGTGAATGGAAAGCACTTTCTCAAAATCACACTTTTTGTTTCCTTTTCAGTCGACACAGACAGGCTGTTAAGGTTACAAGTGCGTGCTTGTAGAAAGGTGGTAGAATCTAAAAATTGCACTTGGTCTGGCCCCCTCGGGGCACTACATTAATTTTCTGGAATCGATAGCATGAGGTGAAGAGGAAAGATGGAGCTGGGAGCTAGGGGCTAACATGTGGCAGATTGCTTGGTAATTGGGGGGTAACTTGGTTAGAATGAGGCAGCTGATGATCCCTAGAGGGATTAGGATACCACTTCATCACTCAAAAGAGAAGAGGCTCCTCTCAAGATGATGGAGGGATGGAAAGAGGGATAGAGAGATAGAGAGGCAAAGAGGTAGAAAATGGGGGAGGCGTGGCAGAAGAGAGGGAGACATATAAAGAGACTGAAAGAGTTGGGAGGAGAGATGTAAAGATTAAGGCATAGGGAGAGATGGAGAGATAGAAAATGGCGGAGAGAGATAGAAACTTGTGGATGAATTGGGGAAAAGGTATTGGAAAAAGATATGGAGAGATAGAGGGAGAGATGGAGGGAGACTAGGAGATATGAAATGATGGAAAGAGATAGAAATCGTTGGCAATGTATTGGGAGATGGAGCAGTGGAGGAAGATGAGGGGATCTGGAGAGAAAGGGATATAGATGGAGATTGAGATGGAAATCGAGACAGAAAGATAGAAGACAGTGGGGGTGGCTTGGGACAGAACAGAGTCGAATGGATGATGGATAATAGTGAAGATGCATGTACATGTTTTTTTGTGACTGATAAAAATATTTGTCTGGGTTTGTAAAAGTAGTTGAGATTGAAGTGGGAGAACGAGAGAGGAGATAAACTTGGAGACAGACAGAGAGTTAGAAAGAGAGAGAGAGAGAGAGAGAGAGAGAGAGAGAGAGGGAGAGAGAGAGACCTTAAGAGAGATGAGAGTTGAAGAAAAGTGGTTTTCACAAAATGTAACGCAATGAAGGTAAAATACTTCTTCCTGCAATTATAACAAAAACGTCATCAATCAATAGTCTAATTTCCTCTATTACCTATTGCCTGAAGGATTTTTGGTTGTTTTCGAGGAAACATTTCTTTCTCTCTTCACGAAGCAATGAAAACAAGCCACTGGATGAAATGAATTCACCCTGACATTTTCAATAACAATGCTGTATTGTTTGATCTGTTTGTATTGGCCGAGATGCATTCAAATGAAATGATGCTGTTTCCGTCTCTAAAGATGGTGGTTCATCTTGGTTAAATGGGGACCTGCTGAAAGCCAGCTGATTTCTTATTTAAATTGGGGCTTCTCATATTTTCTCAAAAGAAAAACAATTTCAGCAGCATGCCAGTTCATAGAATGATGTCAATGAACCATATGTTTTGAAATTTGGGAGGAAGGTTCTAAGGATGTGTGATAATAATACTCTGGGTTTATGTGGGGCTTAATACATCAATGATGTCTCTAAGGGCTCTACAGATATATTATTACCACGGTCATCGGATTCAGATTTGCCTGGACACAATGTAATCACATTCTCCACTCCCTGGGGAGCATTCCAGCCTGGTGCCATTTTACAGATACTGACAATGTTGAGCAAATAATAATAACTTTTGCATCCTACTGGGTACCCATTTAACACCTGGGTGGAGAGTGGCAAATGCTTATTAATTGCTTACTAAAGTAAAGTGTTAGTATGGACTGGGATTTGAACCCTAAACCCTTGAATTGAGAGTGAATTGAATAAACCACTATTTCACGATACCTCCACAGGTGTAGAATGGATCGTAAGGCATAGGGTATACATATATATGGCCGGATCTGTTATTTATAGAAACTCTTTAAATGATAATGATGTAGAACTAAATAGTTGCTTTAAATGCCCGATAAAGTTATTTGAATGATGTAGAATCATCATAGACTACTCAAATTAGGAAAGCTGGGTCACAAGTAGCTAAACAAAATTGATTAAAGTTAAGTTGTTATCAGAATAGCAATAAAAATACAACCCTTGATTAGTACACATAGAGATGAAAGAAGTTTAAATAGACTATATTATTACATCTGTCATTCATGATTTGTGCATGGATGGTATAGACAATCAGTTAATAGCAAGAGGGACATGTATAACTCTCATAAGTGCATACATGCGTCGTTGGACGACATGACATTTACGATTCCATTATACTAGGAGCCTGGAGCGAAGCATTCATGCCTCGAACCCTAGCTGGTCCCAATTAATAGCATAAGAGAAGATAAGGACGATAATCGCTAAGAAAAATAAAGTTGGGAGCAGCGCCGCCGAGATGTAGTTTTGTAAACCCCAGCAGCGGCGAATCTGTCGCGAGGTGATATTCTAGAGAGTTAGGTGTGTCCTGTACACACATGTCGTGTGTGTTTTGACAAGTCGCGAGTTAATGGGAGCCACGGCGTGGTTACATTGTATTCAGGCTAAGTAGAGTGTAAAAAGCTTGACGGTAACGGATCAAATTTCGTCAGTTATGAGTGTACATCTGCCTAGGGTTGGGAGCCGCCTTGAAGAGTTTTGGAGTCGGATGACGGGGGATTGAAGAAATTCCTTCGCATACAAAGAATAGATTGGCATCTTGTTCAAAGAAAAACGATTATCAGAAATACCGCTTTCCTTAGTTTGTTTTTCTGTGCTGTGTTTATAAAAGAGTTGGGCAGTATTTTTATTGTTTGAGTCGTGGACCAGTACTTTGAAAAGTTGGAAAAACTTTGCTAAATAAGTGCTTTAGTTTTGCATGTTCACTGTGATATTTTTCATGCACGTCATCATTTTTACAGAAAAGTTATTTTAAATTTAAGTTCATGTACTACCGGTATTCATTTATTTGATTTTTACTGTTAAATATGTCAAGCAACATGGCAATAGCATATTTCCCTACTCCAGAACTTCTTTTTTTTTCCATCGACAGGAGAATCAAAATAACGTGATTGGCATGATCTGTTTTGTATTCTTGCCACCCTTTGGTCCTGCATCTGTTGTTGCATTTCATATTGTATTTATACCAAGCTATATGGTAGACCGTATCATCGCCATAAAATTATATGTTCCCTTTAAACCTTTACCAAAACAATTTTTTTTTAAATGATCTGCATTCTGTTGGTGCATTCTTTCCACCCCTTTGGTCCTATGTCTCCACGCCTGACGTATCCAACTTTCGATCCTATTACGAGAACTGCATTTCTGATGTCAATTTCAATATGAGAAACCAAGGGCAACAATCATTAGGTCTGATGTGGTTTTTGACCATCGTGACATGTTTGACAAGTTGAACTCTAATCGGCAGAGAATAGCCGTGAAATTCTCTACCCCAAACGGCACCCAGTGTGTGAAAATAAATAATTGCCTGAGGGAAAAGGATTGAGAGGGAGAGAGGTGAATTCCAATGAAATATGGATTTGAGAAAGAGCTTCAGTCCCATTGCTAGAACAGGGGAGTGTTTCACAAAGACCAAGATCGACTTTAAGTTGGACTTAACTATGACAGGCCATTCATGCCACTGGTTGCTCTCACTATTGGTCTCTCTATTATGTTCTTTAGATAACATTTTTTCCTTCCATGACGTATTATCAAAAAATGTAAATTCTGTCGATTTGTGACCACGATTTTTACGTCATTTGAGAGACCAATGCCATGAATGCTTAGAGGAACTAGTGGCATGAATGGCCTGCCATAGTTAAGTCCAACTTAAAGTCTTTGTAAAACACCCCCCCCCCCCCAGGTCTCTTGTTTTGTTCTGAAAATCATATTAACCTCCAGGACTTGAATCTTGATCAATTGAACTATACAAGCAAGAAAATTGTACATTGTTGTTTCTTGAACTGCCAGTTAAGATATCCTAAGAAGGTAGCCCCAGCTAGCCCCTATTCCTTTCTCTGTCAGTGACCTATAAAAACCAGTTGCTGATCTACTTTGCTTACTATGTAACGTTTGTAGTGGCTTTTTATGTTGAAAAACTCTTCTAACTTTGTATCTACTTCGATACATATCCCCTGTGATGTTTTTGTTGCATATGCTTTATAATTCGTCAATGCAATTCCTAACACCTTGTGAGGTTTTCAATTGAAATGTATACAAATTTGAGATGTTTCTTTTGATATTCTACGTGCACTAAGTAAAACAAAATTAAAAGAAAAGTGTAGTTACGTGGCCTTCATACAGTCCAACATGCTTCTTTATAGACTAATGCACTGTACCGACATTAAAAATTATATTTCCTGTTGTGTAAGTTACTATTTTGTTTCGCGCCAAGTTGTGACCTAATACCAAATAAATATCTTTGTTATTCCTTTCGTTTGATGATAAGAATGAGAATCCTGAACACGGTGAATTCAAACTTCTATACTCTCCTTTACACAGGTGAAACTATCGACATCGACAGCGACGTGCCTACGACCAACGGCCTCATCACGGACGATGAGGACTTCGGTGAGGGGAGCGGGTCAGGTGACGGAGAGGGCGGCGAGGGTGGCGAGGGTGGCGAGGGTGGCGAGGGTGGCGAGGGTGGCGGTCCTCCAGACCAGACGGCTGATCTGACATGTGATGATTGGCCATGTGAGAATGGGGGCACCTGCTACCTCCGAGGGGAAACCCCCATGTGTACCTGCGCCCTGGGATGGGAGGGAGCCATGTGTGAGGATGGTAAGTCAATCATACTTTGCATATATTACCTGTTACTTTCAAACCATTCCAATGTAATGTTTCTTTCATTGAATAGTTTTTATAGTCGTGTACATTGCCCTTTAAAACAAGTAAACTGGACTTAATGTTTTGTATTTCCCTTTGATGATATACAGGTGGATAAAAAATAATCTTTACAAATCATTCAACTCTTTCCTGGCTTTGGTTGAGCAGAAGAACAAACATTTATACGTTGAAAAGTTCTTTTGAAAAAAATTATTGCATGGAATGTAACATATCTTTAGTATAAAACAAAGATTTTTTTATGCATTCTATAGGCCTACTATTTCAATATTTATGCACTCATACACATATCAGACTTCATTATTATTTAGATTTTTATTATTTTAGCTATTTTATATGTTACAGTTGGAAGAAGACAGAAGTCAAAAAAATGAAAGATTCCCCCAAATTTTACCAAATTTAATGTATATTTAGAAACAAATCAGGAAGCTAATTGTTTGGGCTGAAATTTAGGCTGAGAATAATCCTGCCATGAAGAAGTTGGCCCAATCAGATCAGATATTTGACAAAAGTTATATGGCACCCAAATGACTGGTCTCTAGCAGAGGGGCGGGTCAACAATCTATCATAATCATTCTTTTTTCCTCGAAATAGGTAAAAATGGTTAAACTTGTAAGAGAAACTTTTGTATAAATCCCAACTATGCAAGCATTTAAAAGCTCAGCTTTGAGTCATATGTAGAGAAATATACACACAGACGCCAAATGTGAAAGAGGTTTACTCTGTCTCCAGACCCCCTTTAGGTGTCTAAATATTTTGAATCGAAAGGAAAAATTGTCTTTGTTATTCTTCCCCAGAAACAGTCAATATTATTTTTATTCCAGCAAGCCCCTGTATGCATTCGGAAGCAAGACGGCATGGTCGTTTAACAATGCAAATAAATCTTGAACTAAGGGTTAGGAAACCTTCTGGGCATTGCATGAGTCTGAAAAGTGAAAGGAAAAGTATAAAAGAGAGAAATTGTTTGAAGCACCTGCTCTTACTGTTATATCTTTGTTTGATGGCTAAATATTCAGTTGTTCAGTATTCATACAATGTTTGATAGGACAATGGAACACCTCCATCTTTATGAAAAAAGTATATGCATGTATTTGTTTGAACTTATGTTTAATAGGAAACATTCTGTTAACAGTTTTGTTTTGTAGATTTTACTTGGTCTGCCTCTTTGGTACCTTACAATTGAGGTGTTGAGTGCTATCAGTGTCGCATTGATGTTTGAGTATGATACATTGCATTAGAGAAAGAGAAAGAGAAAGAGAAATAGTGAGTCAGACATAGATTTAGAGAGAGATAAATAGATAAGGAAAAGAGAGATAAAAGAAGGAAAGGGTTAGCAGAAGAGGACAGAGATACAGAGAGAGAGAGAGAGAGAAAGAGAAAGAAAAAGAGAAGGAGAGAAAAGTTTAACAATGTGAGTATCTCTCGTGCATACAACAAAATTGTCATGAGTTACATAGTACAGGCTGTCTTTATTATAAAAAGAGACGGGGGAAAAGATTGAAAGAGCAAAAGGAAGATGGTATGTATGAACATCAGCATCTCAACATCAGCATCTCAACAATGCTGTATTACTCATACACAATAATTGAATTAAAGACCAAGCAGTCTTTGGAAACACCGAAGGCTGTTAGATGGGAAAGCACTGCCTAAAGGAGAACATATATGAGTAATGCTTACATATCTCTTTACCTCCGGAAGAGAAGGCCACCAAATGCACCCATAATTTATCAATCATACCTCCCCTATCAATATGTCTTGTCAACAGTCACTTTTCACCTGACATCATGCCAGACCGACAATCATCTGCCGCTCCGCCGCCGCAGAATATGAGCATGGTATCTGGTTGGCCATTGCTGGGTGGTTGCAATAAACGGAGCAATTGTAGCTGGCTCGTTGGCAACCCAATATTTGTGATAACGATGCGATGAGAGCAATATGATTCGCCAAGTGCTATAGATAGTGCATTATGATACAGACAGGACATTCACAATACAAGAACTCTATACAAAGTCTGTTAGAATAAACATTAAATATTAATAATCATATAGCAAACGGGGCGACATTATAAGATGGGAATATCATATAAAGGAATTGGCATATATCTGACATACACCACACTGTACCAAGAAATTTAGGTTTATGGAGATCAGCTCATACCGTATGTTTAATATAAGCTTAAATCGCGGGCATTGCTCGAGGGTACCAACTAACAAGCTGTGCAGCTCACATCAGCATATGTTTTGTAGTCAATACTATATTCACATTGGCAGTGGGCACTAGTTCTTGAATGGATGCTCAAAACCTCTGCTTCACTATATACATTCAGACATTCGGCTAGAAGAACGTAAATATTTATAAACAATATAGTTAAGAACAAAACTAATCATACCCTTGCCAAGTTTTGTAATTGTTGAAATTTGTGAAAAATTGATTTGTCCTTTTTTTATGTTTCTTGAGAATGTGAAGTATTGAACTTATATAAGTATTCAATAAATTCCACCATTCTTGAGTTTAGAAAATACAAAAAACATCCAATTTACAAATGGTATGACTAATTTAGTTGTTAAATGTTTATATGGATTATTGTTTAGCTGTAAAACATTTTTTTCTAGTCAGAATGGGACCTATGGGGTAGTGCTATGGGAAATGAGGGGGAGTAAGAATCGGTCTGGTATCAAAGCTTTACAACCAATTTGAACTTAATGCCCCTGATCGTCATACCAGTTGTGTGCTGGTCTGATTCTTGAACAGTGACATTGAACATGGTGCTCTACATTTTCTCCAACAAAGAGAAGAATATTGCACAATTTTGTGAAGAGGAGGTAAATAAACATACCATTTGTTGCTTGATGACCTGTCCTAGTCATTTATCTTTCTAGCACTGTAGCACAGCTTTTGTGCACTCAAACCACGAGCATAATAGTATCAAAATGATACTGTTTTGACAATTATGACTTTAAAAGTACATTGGTTTGGTAACTTAAGTTTTATCCCCATTGTTGATTTATTGCATAGCTTACATTACCTAAAAGCAAAGCAATGTACAGAGCCTTTTTTGGGTACTGGTAAGTAAAACTTTCAGGGATGAGATTCCTCCTCCGATTAGCCGATTTCCGCTGATTTCGATATTTCAAGACCGTTTAAAAAAAATTAAAATTAAAAACCTTAAAACCTGTAATCACAGTAAGGGTGCTCTACCCCTTAACCCCCCTCCCCCACCCCAACCCAGCAGGGGCACTGCCACTGGACCCCCAAGTGATCTTCCTTCTTTTGGGGAATTTCTCTGTCTCATCTCTGAATTACTCTATTGTCTTTGATCCTCGACATAAGCTAGTAATCTCTTTCCCATCTCATCATTCAAATGATAAATTCTTCCTCTGCTGGAGTATGTTTCCAACTAGATGGGACACGGAGTTACGTCATTCCGCCTCTGTCTTGCCAGTGCAACATCAGTCTCCCACTCGATGGGGATGAAGCGATGTGTCTCTAATATCCGCTAAAACTATTTGTTGACTTTCTGCACACGCACTCAAGTCCCCTTTGAGGCACTAGGGGTAGCATGTATGATTGATTATTGCTTGAGATGGAAGAAAGTTTGTACTTGGTGATATTGGTCCACTTGGTTAGGAGTTGAGAGATTGGATGCTAATGTCAATCATTTAACACAAATCTCCTATTGGATAGTATAGTCTCTTCTCTCAACGGTGATATCCAGATTGCACCTTGCATGAAGGAGGGAAGCATTTGTACCACATACTAAATCTTAGTAGTGCAAGGAAGAAACAAAAAAGCACTGTACCTGCATACTGCGTCGTGTAAAAATTCCTTACAGGAGATGCTATTAGCATATTTTTCATATATTGATATGAGGAGATAAAACTGCTGCAATCTAAGCTAATGATTGGATGCCCATTCAGTTTTTTTATATCACATTTATAGGCGATAACAAGAGAAAGCATGATGTAAATCAAATTCTGTTTGATGTACAGCAGAAGAGATTGGATGAGGGAAGGGATCACATATGGCTCCCCTTCTTTGTCAAATTATTGTGAACATTTTTTTTTTGCCTTTTATTTTGAGACCTCACTTCATCTTACAAAAAATACACTTTGTGGATGGGTTTGTTAGATCTTTTTACACATTGTGCCCCTTCATCAAATCATCTGCTAATATTTAGTATCCTCATTCTAGCAAATCAGTGAAATACACTACCCTGGATTGCTGGAAGCGATCATTTCCCCTTTAAGTGTTTTGGATCTCCCCTTTAAGTGTTTTGGGTCCCTTGTGTGATAGATACCCGACAGAAGTCACTTGAGTTACAGTCATCCTAAATGGAAGGGACCTACTTTTATGATTGCTTGGATACATACATATATATATATCATCTTGGAGAGGTTTGTTTGCATGTGTGAGCGTTGGACTTGCCATAAATTATCCTCAAACTGTAAATAATTAATCGGGGCACACAAGGCGGGAACCTTTTAATTGCGGTATCCATGTTGATGGCACTCTGCACAACTCTCTGATGTGAAGTGATCCTTCCTCATGTTCCAGGCAGGGTATCTTTTCAGTCAGTATGGTGGAAGCTCTGTGTGTATCAAGTATTTGATGTTGAAGTGTTAAACAAGGTACTCTCCCTTTATGGAAAATTAGTAGTCAGAGTGGAAACGCAATCCCATCAATTAAAAAAAATAAAACTGAAGAGCGATTTCAATACCCTATGTCCCATTGAAATTATGTTCAGATTAAGTACCAGTAATATGTCATTGTTATGTCGCACATTACAATAGGTGACACACAAGGCTGTTGAGAATGCGTTAGATTGATTTTTTGAAAATAATTGCTATTAGGTTATAATTGCTACAAATGTGCTGTGATACTGATTGAAAATAGATATTATCTTCAGAGACCCAGAATGATGTCAAAGCATACATGTA